GTTTTTTAAAAAACCTGCCGCTACCGCGCCGCTGCCGCGATGACTTTAAAAAAAATCTGCCGCTACCGCGCCGCTGCCGCGGTGATTTTTTTTAAAAACCTGCCGCTGCCGCGCCGCCACCGCCACCGCGGCAGCGGCGGCGGCGCGGCAGCGCCGCGATGGACATCTCTGCTCTATGCCACAAAAACTAAAATTTATTTTCCTAACTTGGGCGTGATTAGGAAAAAGTCAATAGGTTTTTTCTCACATGAAAATTCTGTTTTTATGAAAGTAAATGTTGTTGCACTGAGAGCTTCAATATCTCGAATTAGTAATTGAATGCATTCTTTTAAATGAGCAAACATGTAGAGCTTGTATAGCTCAGTGGTGTGTATACAAGATATCTAATCCGTGGTTCTCATGTTCAAATCTGACTTTGATCGTTAAAGTAAATATTCAGTCCGTTTGCCAGGATAGATTAAGACCATTATGATATATTGTTGATGGCGCCTCAGTTCGAATCTGAGATGGATTGAAATTTAGTTTTCGAATTTTAAGAATTTGGTGTGGAACGCGTCCCAACGCGCTTTAGTTTGAGCTCGCGTCTAGACGCAATTTAAAAGAAAATAGCGAGTAGACGCATTTTGGAACTAAACTGTGTGCAAACTGAGTTCAGAGGTGAATCATTTTCGAAGATCGAGCTGTTATTCATTTCTAGATGACTGCGATCGATAACGCCACGATGGATTCTCACGATGGAGGAGAAGATGCGATTGGTACAGTGATTTTATTTTTATCATTTGCTGTCTTGGCTGGATGTATATGCAAACTAATACTTTCACAAGTATTGAAAAATAAATTTCCTGCTCCATTCACAGTGATCGTACTAATTTTTGGCTTCAGTATCGGTATGATTATTGCCCATATTTATGGTACGAGCAATGATTTTTTACTTGGTGAAAAAGAATTGAGAGAAATTAATCCTCATCTTATTTATTTCATTTTTTTACCGTTGCTGATATTCGATTCTGCTTTTAACAGTCGTTTTCATGTTATTCGACCACAAATCATATCTGCTATACTTCTAGCTGGCCCAGGTGTACTCATTTCGATTGTCATTGTTGCAGTGTTTGCCACATATATATTTCCTTATCATTGGTCTTGGCTAGTTAGCATAATGTTTGGAAGTATTCTGAGTGCAACAGATCCCGTTGCTGTAGTGGCATTACTACACGAATCAGGAGCGAGCAAATCATTAGCAGCATTGATCGATCTTGAATCATTATTGAATGATGGTTCTGCCTTTGTCATCTATATGATTTTTCGAGATATTGTCGTCGGTGAAAGTGATAGTGCCAAGAAAATTATTATTGATATCGTCAAGTTCACTATCGGTTAGTAGAGTTTGATCATAATCACATTCTTTGTGATGACATGGTTTGGAAATTATCTGTTGACATTCTAGGTGGTCCAGCTTTTGGCATTGTCTGTGGCATCATTGCTGTAATTGTTCTGAATATGGTCCATAATGAACTTGAAGTCGAAATTATATCGACTTTTGGTCTTGCCTATCTAATTTTCTATGTTGCCGACGTTGAACTCCGTGTTTCAGCTGTCTTGGCACTGGTAGTCATGGGACTTTTCATGGCCAAACACAAATATTGTATCAGTAGTCATGTGCAACTTCCAATGGTCAATACTTGGCGCATCATTATTGATTTTGCAAATATTCTCATTTTTATCATTACTGGTGTTATTTTGGCTCATTCACTGATCGGCACGAAAGCAACTATTATCACACGTGATTTTGGACTTTCTATTCTATTGTATATTGCTCTTCATCTCGGACGTCTATTATCCGTCATTGTACTCCATCCATTTATACGTTGGAGTGGTGTGCGTCTATCTCGGAAAGAAAGTATGGTGCTGATTTGGAGTGGTTTAAGAGGAAGTATGTCCGTTATTTTAGCTTTGATGGTTGACTCCGAAAATCGAATCGATATGGAAACGAGACATCGTTTCCTTTTTCACATATGTATGATTACCCTTCTTACACTGATTATCAATGGAACAAGCAGCAAGTTTTTAGTAAGATTTCTCGGCTTGGATCACGGTATGTGCATTATTTATTGACTTGTTCAATTCACTTTTTTCACTAATCATTACTGTCGAGCAAGTAGCGAGTGGCTTATTGATAGAACGATTATTTTCGATTGAGAAAAAAAAGTGGCGCTCAGATTCTTTCTCAACTCCAGATTGAATTTTCCTACGAAATATGAATATTGTTTAGCACATTACCTATTGAGATGGGAACAATTCTCGATGTTATGAATGAACATGTTCTTTTTTCAGGTACACCGGAAAGTGAACGCATGTTGTTACAAGCTCTCGAAAATATGCGCAGACAAACAGCATACCAACTCCATAAGATGAAACAGGAAAAACAATTTTCTGATGTCGATTGGGATATGCTCAATGAATATTTACCAGAAAAATTGGTTCAAGAAATGGATGTACATCGAAGAACAAGCATCCATCGGCGACTCTCTGCTCTACCCGATTTTGCTGACGATTTATTGTTAAATTCTTATCAAAAAAATACGAGCACAGACATTGAGTTAAAAGAAATCCCGAGCATATGTGAGACCGAAAGTATATCCATAGATTTCACACCGGAAGAAAGGAATTCAACTATTAAACATATCGTATTGCAAGTTATGAATTTTCGATCCAATGATAAAAAAGAAAACACACAATTTCAAAACGAGCTAACTATTCGTTTTCTCACAGCATTGTTGGTTGATTATGAAAAACAATGGTATCTTGGAATGATTCGTCGACGAACACTCTACATTCTGATTAAATCAGTCGAAAAAGCCAAACATCAACATTCACTTAAACTTCATTGGAAATTGATCGTTGAACATTTTCGATTATCGAAGTGGCTGCAAACTCTAATGCGACTCGATTGTGTCAAGTGGATTAACAAAGAGTCGAATAAACTATTATTTGATCATATCTTTCTCACCATTGAATTGACTCTCGGTAAGTAGTACAATAAGAAAATGTTCTTTTCGTTTTGTTTTATTTTCTTTATCGATTAGCTTTCCATTCGACTCAAACTCGTATGGATAATATTCGAAAGCAATTTCCAGAATTAGCAAATATTGATAAAAGAATTTGGAATAAAGTTTATGAAGAAACTCGTTTCTATCATCTCACTGCTACCTACATTCTGCTTGATCTACAACAATCCTATGAAGCTTGTTGGCGAATTCATATGACAAAAAGATGTGCTCAAATGTTACTCAAATATGAATCGAAGACGCTCACTGAACTTTATGAAACGGGAATGCTCGGCCACAGAGTACATTCACATATATTGGAAATAATCGAAAAGAAATCGTTGAAATTGGAATTTTATCGTGTCTCTATGGTTAAGGGTCATTTAAAAGCTATTGAAAATCCTTTTGACTTATTGCCACTCTTTCGATCACTACCTAATCATGAAAAAATACGTTGGCAAACGATTATGAAAGTAAAACATCGATGGTTTCAACCGGATCAAATTCTCCTTGAAAAAGGTCAAAGAGTATCGACTGCCTATCTTATCACTCGAGGGATTGTTGAATGTAAAAAAGATACAATGCCCATATATTACCGACTGGGCAATATTGTCGGTATCGATGCCTTATTTTCACAAGATTTTCTAGCACATGATATTTATCGTGTCAGTGGTGGACTTTTGGAAGCTTATTGTATCGATGGTATATTATTGAATCAATTTTTAAAAGATGAAAATTTAGCTCCTTCGATCTATCGAGAAATTGCTCTACATGTCTTGAGTAATAATTATCAGACACGTTTGAAATTGAATCGTTTACAACTACGGTTACTTGTGCACAAGAGAGCGAAATTCTATTGGAATGAATCGGATATATCGATTCAATTGAATGAAAATCAACGACTATTTATTCTTGCTGGCTATGTTACTCATTTGTTCAATGGTCAACATAATAAATACGAGTCAATTCAACTACAAATCTTTGATACTGAAGCCGAAATTCTTCTTAATTCATCGACTGTGGCCTATTCATGGATGGATGAAGATGAAGAATTTTCTATCAAAGATACTAATCTTACAGTTGATTTTCCATTGCAAACCTATGATTTGCTCTCCAATGATCTACTTTCTCCGGGACATTTGAGTCAAGTCACACAATCTTCCGAACGACGACGTTCAACATCATTCTTGGATGATGGAATACATTCCAGCGAAGTATAATTTAATATTTTAAAAGCATGATCTTTCTTGCCGTTTTCTTACTTTGCAAAAATAGTTCTAACCACAGTGAAAGACATTTTAACAAGACGCATCATAGACTCAAGTTATGTTTCTCATATTATACTTACACAATAGATCAGCGATAATGTAGTTAAAAATATTTTGTATTTTTGTGTTCTGAATCTAAAACTTTCTTTTTATTCTAATCTAATAAATCATTTGATATTATTTCTTACGTATTTTTATATTTCTCGAAGTTTCTATGTTACTTGAAATACATTGATCGGAATATCTTTAAATTTCTCCTTGTCCAATAGGAATGATTGTATTACTAATTGTACATTGACTTATTTCAAACAAATAGGTGATTATCAAAAAACATGGAAGAATTTCATTTGAACTGATATAATCGATGACATTTATTTCGTTATGCACTTTTCTTATCCAGAAAGCCTCAAAAATAAAACTAATTTCAGGTTGAGACTGTTCCTAGAAACTTTTAATTGTGCGTAAATAGAATATAATACTCTTCTTTTGTAATAGTGCCGCACGTAATACAGAAAACTTGATAAAATTTTTCGATAATCTCTGTTCTGCCAGGGCTGCCTGTTACAGTCACATGTATCACTCCTTGACTCATCGGTATTTGTTTATTCATTTCGCATTCTTTGATGCTTTATTTCTCTCTATATATCTCTCCCTATACTTGATGAAGGGGAGACAATCTGGAAATAAACGAACATCGAGAAGATACAGGGAAACCTCTAATATTTGGTGCCGTGACCCGTCTTCTCTCGATCATTTTCACATAACGTTGCAAACACCTGTGTATTGGAATTCTGTCACATTCATTAACTCTTCGGTACAATTCATTTTTTCCATTACTATTTACCTAAAAAAAAAACAAAAAACTCGAAAAACGACGTCTCAACAACGCAGACATTTGCGAAGCAACACCCAACCCGGTAACTTACTACCACACGATATAATCACATACGGGCGCATCCGACATCACGCTGTTCCTACGGATACAACTACTTCTTCACATACTATTTCAACTACCAATATGGAACTAAATCCTTTTCAAAATCTTCTTAATACAACTGCTTTAAAGGAACTACCCAAATTTACTGGCGATCCTAATCAGAAAGTTACTCAGTTTATTAATGCTGTTGAACACATCGGTAGCTTCGCTGGATTGAATGAATCGATGCTACATTCTATCGCTACTATTAAATTAGGAGGATCTGCCTTTAATTGGTATGATAACAATAAAGACTATCTACAAACATGGCGAGATCTAAAACAACATCTTCTTGAACGCTTTAAACCATCTCTTTCTGCTATCAAAACGCGACTGAAGGAAAGAAAACAACAACCTGGTGAACTACTTAACGCCTACTATGATGATATTATTGATTTATGTAAACAAGTTGATCAAAATATGCCGCTACATATGATCGTTGATTATTTACAAGATGGTATGCGCAATGATTTAAAAATACACGTCAAACGTCGCCTCAAAACGCTCGATGATGAACCAACACCAGGTATTTTTTGGAAGATCGCTCATGATGAAGAAGAGTTACTGAACGAAATTCCTTCTGAAACCCAACAATCAATCTTTCCAACATCCCCATATTTTGCACCTGTTACTGCTGTCACTCAAAAACAACAAAGCAGCTCTGAAAATTCTCTTCATTCACAAATCCCTCAAAATACTCGTACCACAGATTACATGCACATTCTTAACAAATCACGTGCCTATCGTCCTCGTCCCACGCAAACGAATCACTTCTATCCATGTTTGATCTGTCAACGATCAAATCATCGTACTATCGACTGCTATCATAGACAGCCACGTGGCTGTTACAAATGTGGTAACCATAACCATAATGTTCGTGATTGTCCCCAGGTTTTTCAATAACTGGGACTCAAGATGGCGGAGATCTCAGTAATACTATGCCATCATCATCAACATTCTCAAACCCTTTTTTTATTCGTGCTCAAATCAATCACACCTATCATAATATTCTCCTGGACACTGGTTCCAGTATCACTATTATCCATAATCAATTTTTGCAACGCATATATCACAATACGTTTGAACCTTCACAAAATTCTTATATTTCGGCTAATTGTACCACGATCAACATAATCGGTAAAGTTCAACTTGAAATAAAAATTAACGGTCTCTCCACTTTTGTAACGGCTTCTGTTGCTTCGAGTCTCGTCACTGATGTCTTAGTAGGCACTGACTGGATCAATCAATATGTTCTATACATGGATATCTCTACACAACGTTTAACTTTGCAAGATACTACAGGTCAAACTACCACCACTTCACTCATTCAATCGAACAATACATCATGTTGTACAGTCCGATTACTCGATCAAATTACTATTCCACAATACTCCGAATCTGTTATCAAAGCCGCAGTACATCTTCCAGATAGTTCAAATTTGTTGTTTGAACCGTCTTCAAGTTTTAGTCAAAAAGCAGTAGTACTTCCAACAGCTTTAATCAAAGTGACTAATTCTCAAACACACTTAACTATTATCAATACCACCAATCATCCATATATTTTACCTTCAAATACGTGTCTCGGTACTGTTTCTTCATCATTACTAATATGTGCAACAACATCACCATATCAATCTCAGTCAACACAATTTCGATCAGCAAAAATACGTCATTATTCTCTGAATTCATCACATAAATGCTACGTCTGTCATCAGAAATTTTTATCACAAAACAATCTTTTTCATCATCTTCGTGTACAATGCTATCCACAAGAATTACGACATCAAATTGAAACATTAACACAACACATCGACTCCGCCTCGCATCGCAAAAAAATCCAAGATGTCCTTTGAAAATACGGTAAACTGGTCGATCTACGTCAACCATCAAAAATCAATATCACTCTCGATCATGTGATCGATACCGGTCAACATCGACCAATCTACACTCCACCTTATCGACGTTCACCTCAAGATCATCAAACTATTACCGAAGAAACAGACAAACTGTTAAAGCAAGATAGTATCGAACCATCAACATCACCTTGGTGCTCACCTGTCGTATTAGTGCGTAAGAAAGATGGTACTACACGATTTTGCGTTGATTATCGAAAACTAAATGATATTACTGTCAAAGATTCATTCCCGTTACCTCGCATCGAAGATATTTTCGATCAACTGTCTCAGTCAACATATTTCACCACACTCGACTTTAAAAACGGCTATTTTCAAATTCCATTAGCAATTCATGATCGTCCTAAAACGGCATTTTCCACTCGCGATAATCATTATCAATTCAAAGTCCTCCCTCAAGGTGTAAAAAATGGTCCACCTACGTTCCAACGCATAGTAAACCAAATTTTAGGTCCTGCTCGATGGAAACATTGTCTAGCGTATCTAGATGATGTCGTCATTTTTTCGAGAACTTTTGACGATCATGTTTCTCATTTGGATGAAATCTTTTATTTACTTCACACACACAATTTTCGTCTAAGTTTCGAGAAATGTATCATCGCTACTGATAACATCAATTATCTGGGTCACCACATTTGTCGTGGAGAAATTCGTCCAAATAATGATAATATACGCGGTTTGTTGGAAACTCCAACGCCAACAACACCGAAAGAGATTTTTCGTTTTTTAAAAGGAGCCGAATACTACCGTAAATTCATTTCCAACTTTTCCCGTCTTGCTAGTCCTTTATATAAATATAATCCTTCCAACTCTACACATCCATCTAATACTAAACCTACAATTTTTACATTATCGGCTGACGAACAAACTGCTTTCGAACAAATCAAACACATACTCACAACCGACCTTGTTCTTCGACTTCCCAATAATCAACTTCCTTTTAAAATACAAACAGATGCTTCACAACTTGGTATCGGTGCTGTTTTATTACAAACCTATCCTGAAGGTGGTCGTCCTATATGTTATATGTCTAAGAAGCTTACACCTGCTCAACAACGCTGGTCTCCTATTGAACAGGAGTGTTATGCGATCGTCAAAGCTGTTGAATTATGGCATCACTATTTACACGGTAATCATTTTATTTTAGAATCTGATCATAAACCATTAGAAGCACTCATGCGTAAATCTCAAACGAACGACAAATGTGAACGATGGCGTTTACGGCTACAATCATACAACTTCACAATAAAACACATCAAGGGTAAATCAAACACCATGCCTGATTATCTATCTCGATCACCAGTGGATCACGCTGAAGATGACATTGACGATAACGTTATGCCAACTTCTGCCTCTATCAGTACTCAAACTGATACCAGTGACCACGACACTTTTTCAACATCATCAATTGTCGGTATGGTCACTACTCGTTCTCGTTCTCGTCAATTACCACAATCCGATAATCATATTACCACTCCACCAAACATCAATCGCTCTGACGTTCAAAATCATCAATCAACATCATCAACTTCTAAAACTACTACTGATAGTGCACGTATTGGATATACTGGTGCTATTGATCAATTGAAACAAGCACAACAGAAGGACCCTGATCTACAATACATAGCGAATCATCTTAATGATAATAAGTATATTAACTCTTATCTTTTACAGGATGGTCTCTTAATGCATTATGAACAACACTCAAAACCTGTTCCATGTGTTCCGAAAGGAGAAATTCGAAATGATATTATGAAAATCTATCATGATACTCAAGCTAACGGCGCACACTTCGGTCGTGACAAAACTATAAAGAAAATCAAAGCTCGATACTATTGGTATACCATGAACAGCGATATAACTAATTATGTTAAGTCATGTATTCGTTGTAATCAAAATAACCCTATTCGCTGCAAACCTCCTGGTCATCTGAAACCGATCGAACCACCGGAAGGAGTTTGGCACTTATTATCAATGGACTTTCACGGACCCATTACTCCTACTAGTCGACGCGGCAACAAATACATTATTTCAATCACTGACGTTCTATCCAAATTCGTTATTGCAAAAGCAGTTCGTGATTGTACTGCTGATACTGCTGCTCGATTTCTTCAAGAAGAGGTTATCTGTAAATATGGCACACCGAAATGTGTTCTTACAGATAATGGTACTCATTTTACATCAACTATGATGGAACATCTACTCAAACGTCTCGGTATCACTCATTTGTACGCAACACCCTATCATCCTCAAACTAATGGTCAAATTGAGCGTTTCAATAGCACGATGGATGCAAAAATTGCTGCCTTATCTAATCAATATCGATCTGATTGGGATGATAACCTTCCATTTGTCATCTTTAATTATAACACAAGTTATCATTCCACTATTAAAACTATTCCATTCGAACTTATGTATGGACGTTCACCTGTCCTACCATTCGATCTACAAAACCCAAACGTTTCCCTTCAACAGTCATCTCACTATGCTCAGAACATACGTCAATACATATCACATCTAACAAACAATGCGAAAACAAATATCATTCATGCACAACATCAGTACAAATCTAGATATGATACCAATCGCTCAAATCCTACATATTCCATCAACGATTTAGTTCTTATAAAAAATATTCATTCACGTCACAAATTTGATATTCGATATGAAGGTCCATTTCGGATTATACGTCGTCTTGGTGTTAAAACATATCTTGTTCAACATGTCAAACTACTGGATTTGACAAGACAAGTAACAGTCGATATACTTATTCCGGTCTCAATTAGATAGTTATCTATCAACGATCCATTACTTATGTTAATTTTCAACCGTTCAATACATACTAACAAACACACTCAGTATGTTTTTTTTTTTATATACATTCTGTTACTCATCATACACTTTCCTACTATTGTTATCTGCATTCTTCACCTCTGCCATTTTTGTCGAACGCCTTCCTTCATCATCGCCTTATATCTCTTCATACTTTTCTTCATCCATCATTTATTTCTCACTTCTGTACATCCTCATTTTCTAATAACCATGTTCAATTTCATCGCTATCTTCTTCAACCTTATTTTTTCATGCCTTGCGATTCTTCCCAAAAATCGAGTCAAACGATTCCTTAATGCTGAAATACACCAACGCATGTCCGTCTTAGAACAGTCACACAGCACTCATCGTGATCAGACAAACAACATATTCATTGGAGGTGCTGTTGCAATTGGTATCGTCATCATTATTCTCCTCGCAGTTGTATTCTTCACATATCGCCGCCTTCGTCGATCTATACGTCATCGTCAACCTCTCGCTCTTCAAGCACTTGAAGCATCTGGCCTTAATCAACTTCATCCGATGGGCAACATACTTATGAGTACCCTTCGTCGTCTCGACACTTTAGAACAGGCTACTCAACCACCTGCTATACGTTATGTATCTTCACCTGCTTTACCACCTCTCAAATTTTAAAGGTACTTACAACCTTCGTTTTGTTTCTTCTTTTATTTGTAATAACACTACCATATTATCGTTTCCTTCATATTATCATTTTGCATACACACATATTTTTTGTTCTCGATTATATATTCAGATTCTATCAGTTTCTTTCGTTTTTTCTCTTTCTACTGCATCATTATACTGCTGCATATTTTCTTCATATTATCACATTTTCTTTTATCATCTAATCCGATTGTTTCAATTTTGCTGGTGTTCGTTTTAATGTGTGTGGACCCACATTTCTATCGGTGGGGAGGTATGTTACAGTCACATGTATCACTCCTTGACTCATCGGTATTTGTTTATTCATTTCGCATTCTTTGATGCTTTATTTCTCTCTATATATCTCTCCCTATACTTGATGAAGGGGAGACAATCTGGAAATAAACGAACATCGAGAAGATACAGGGAAACCTCTAATACTGCCACATCTCAATTTTCAAATGGGATACAGGAGAGTTGGAATGGGGTACAGTTGAGGTAGAATTTTTTTTATAATGGTGTACACTAGGGGTGGACCATTTAATTTAACGGGACTTAATTAATGGCATTAATTAATGATTAATGCTTTCTCATTTAATCATTAATTCATTAATATTAATGATTAATGATTGATATGAAGCAAATATTTTTTTTATTTTGATTTTTTCATGGAAGAAAAGTTAATTTAAGAAATACTGAGGGTAATTTCGATAATTTTTCAGGGCCTCTCTAATGGAAACCATCATAACTATTCAAGACAGACTTCATGAGTCAATCAAGAAAATAAATTTTAAGAAAAAAATTAACATACATCAGTTTTTTTATTAATTGGTATCTCACGAAAAAATATCTTCAGATTTCTATGGTCTACAAAGAGATACCAAATAATGGACCTGGCATCCCAGAAAGGAAACTCGATCTAATTTTATTAGCCGAAGAATCAACAGTCATCCCTGATTATTTTTTACAAGTTTATTATATATTTCCTCATGATTTATTTTTAATGTCTGGGATCTCCTCAGGCATCAAAAACTATTATTTTTGTCGCCGTTCAATTAGAAGTCCCTATAACTTGGCAGGACTCAGTGGTTTGATTACAAATCTAACAGTTGAAGGGTGTGGGTGTGGGGTGTGGGTGTGGGTGTGGGTGTGGGTGTGGGTG